TTTTTTTTTACCTTTGAAACATCCAATAAAACCTGTCAAGACTTCCTCGGGTTTTGGAACTCTTAGAGGGTACTATGACATGATTTTTGAAGTTTGAGGTAAGGAAGCTAACCAATTTTAACTCTTCCTATCAGCAAGTAACCCTGTTTACGAGCGAGGGGCTTCGGACACGTTAAAAATGGCGAAACTTTCGGTTAGAAGTGGCGAAGAAGTCGAGGAAGGACTAGAATATCAGCCACTGGTGGAGAACACCAAGCCAGCTGAGCGCTCAGACAGTCTACCGGGATACAGATCGCTGTCTGTTGGTCAGAGACCCGCTAACGGTAACAATCCAGGGATTCGTTCGTCCAATTACCTCAGTTTGATACAGGATGAACCTCAAGATGAAAGAGACTATCAAACGCTGGTTGACAACGCCAATCCACAGGTTAGCCAAAGCTTAACTTTAATTGTTAAATGTAACTTCTCCAAAATAATTGCCATTTATTTCTTTAATCCTAGTTTTGAGAATTCAGTCGTCGGTGCATTTTCGGTTCTGAGAGGTTTTACATTTAGGTTTGTCGCCCCACACTCGTTAAAACGATAAATTATGGAGACGAACTCAAAGTGTCACTCTTCATGTCAGACATGATACTTAACTTCTTAACTTTATTCTTTAGAAACTGGAGACCGTTGATGAAGAAAAGATTCCGGACTACCAAGAACTAGAAGAGAGAACTGATAGTGAAGGTGTGTGAACTTGTCTTCCTTTTCATTGGGTGAAGGTCCAATTCATGTCAGCAGACGCGGTGGCTTAACGGTTAGCGCGCTGGACTCCGAGTTGAGAGGTCTGAGTTCGAGAGCTTACCGGGTCATTGTGTTGTATTCTTGGGCAAAAAAAAAATTATCTTCACAGTGCCTCTCTCCACACAGGAGCATAAATGAGTTCAAGTGAACTGTTAGGGAAAACTGACGAATGCCTCACGGGGGGGAGGGGGGTACCACCTTCGATGGACTAACATCCCATCCAGGGGGGTGTAATAACACTCCTAGTCACTTCATGCTGGAAGGACCGGGATAATCTCCGGCTGGATGGACGACGTGGCTCGAGAGTGGGTAAATACCAATTTATCTGCGATGTTAAGAGACCATTATTCTCTCTTTTACTTGGTTATCATTATTTTTATTGTTATTCTATATTTCAGATTCATTTGAAACGTCTCCTCACCATTCTGAGGATTCCTACTCGGATCATGAAGAACCTCCAGCGGACACGATTCTGAGGAAAATAAAATATCCTGCAACAACAAAACAACCCGTAAATGGTTTGTCTTCAGACTTTCATGATTATGATGAACCAGAGGGTATTATTGTTCTATCAGATAATGAGGATAATCATGAACAGGCAATAAAAGACAATACTGACTTCCACGATTATGCCGACCTGGATGATAATCCCGAGCAGGCAATAACAGACGATGTTAACTATCACGATTACGCTGACCTGGACGATGACGATGATGAGGTGGATAACAAGAACCGTCACGTGGTACCCGATGAAGATTCTTCGTGCTATCATGACTATGCCGATCCTGACGAGTAACGAAAGTCACGTACTTTTTAAAATGTCTAGAGAGAGGTTAGGCATTTTAAAACATCGTGGTATCCGAGAGTGCGACTGACAGTAGTTAACAACAGGATTCATCTTAGTGAAGTTTGGAAATTGTCATCAACTTCGCCAGCATTGTTCGTGAAAAAAATTACAGCAGAACTCTGTCTGTTGGCTATCAAGATGTTGTGTCATTTGCCATTGTCATTTTTTTTTAAATAACCCAGTCTACAGTCGTCGTAAAAGTAAATCGAGGATTGAGAAAAACTACAAACTTGCTCGAAGTTAACTACAGTTCAATTTTTATCGTGTATGTTTAGTAGCAGAAATTGCCGGCAAGAACACATCTGCTGCATTCTTGTGGTTTCAGATTGGCCAGCGACAATCTGAAGATCTTCGGTACTAGTGATTCTCCCAACAGCTCCAACGTCCTTGTTTACAAAAAGAATAGCCCTTGTCAATGACGTTAACTCTTCAATAGAGGACATGTGAGGGATGCGGTTTTAAGGGCGATTGAGGATATGAGAAAAGACTTAATGACAAATTCTTCTGAATTAGACACAAAGGGATACGACTTATCCTACCCCCCTCTAACTTATACCGAAATTTATTTTGTTGTCTATACTAAGACTAACGAGATGTATTTAATGGAAAATGGAAAATTATTGCCATGGCAAAACTTTCTGTCATCTTTTCTTTCGAGATGGAAGAGATTTACTTTGCTTTCTTAAGACAGACATCGTTTTAGATGTTTGAAGGAAGACTGCTTAAGGGATATCGAATCTATATTCGTATATACAATAACTTTGATAACCCTTGTGAGGTAAATAATGAAGATTCAAATTAAACGAAGAATTCTATTCTGGCAAATATTTTTTAGCGAAGACTGATCTTTTTACTCTCCTTAATAGTTGTAACATTCGCGCAAAGTGAAGGCTAACCTGAAGAGTCATTAATAAGAGACATGACACATGTGCCATCTCTTAAACTTTCAGAAGCTTAAAAATGTATTGAAAGCAAAGTTCTCTCAATAAGGTTAATGTAATGAGATATAACATAACAAGCACAAAATGTTTTCCAAAGTCCGTTGATCAATTTTGACGTCAACCTCTCAGATTAATATCAAATCCTTTGGTAATGTTGATCACGAGGTCGTAAAAATTATTACAAGGGACATGCTATACTCAAACAACATTTATAATACAGGTTCGATTATGAAAACACTTTGGGGGAAGTTAGAATGACACAAGAACTTACGCAATTTGTTGTGGATAAATCGCGAAACTCTTTAAGCTCTATGTTTCTGGCGGCGCAATCTAATGTCAATTGTCCATAATTAGCAGGATACAATAAAAAGAGGCTACTTGAAGTTTTGCTTATTGGAAAGCAATGTTGGTTCCTGAAAAGCGAGGTCAAATATGCGAACACTACTCAATATGGAACAAAAATAATTTTTTTTTCAGTAGAGCACTATCACATTGAATATTCTTGGCAAAATCAGAAACTTCTAATCTGGAATTTTTTTTCTTCTTTTATTCATTTTACTCTTCTTCGTTCCTTAATGTTTTGTTTTAAGCTGGGAAATGGGATGGTCCGAAACGAAACAAAATGAATAAAAAAAAAACGTCATATTGAATTTTTTCAATCATCCAGGTGATATTACAACATCATTGTTATTCGTCGCGTCAAACTTGGTCTGTGCTTATTACAGTCTACAACAATCTCACGGAAAATATAACTTATGCGCACTTACTTTCTCATATCGCACCTTGTGGGCACCTCGACAGAGCCTGTTTCGTGGAAGAGCTGAACGAACGGAAAAAAAATCTGAAAACCTCGGTGCTTAAGTGTGGAAGTAATCGACAAATCTAACAACAAGTTAGGTCATGGCTTTTTCCAAGACAAAAGTGAGCTCTTTCTTTGTTGTATTTTTGATCCAAGCTTTAGTCGTTTCAAGTGAAAATGCAACTACACCGACTATGAGCGCTGAAGGTGAGTAAAACGTTTTGTAAAGCCAATGAGCGGCACAGTTTCGACCTGGTCAAATCAGTAAAAAGTGTTGTCAGTTTTAACATGTTTGCGGTATTTGTTATTCACGCTGTTTTATGTTCGTCTCGCTAAACCCTGCATAGATGATCTTCATTTGTATAATTGCAAGGTCCAAATCAGGGCAAAAAGCGCAACCATAACAACTGTAACACTATAAATGCGCTAGCACCTTATGTATATAATGACAACTTTAATTAACTTAATAAAATCTTTAACGTTTTACATCATGAGGCAGAAGTCGGATTGTTTTGAGAAATTAATGTAACCCACCATGCATTTGGCTTCCATAAAACTATTTTGTCATTTGGAATATTGACCAAAGGACTTACAAAGAACTTTATCCCGAGCTATTGAAGTATTGACTCGAGGATCAATACTCCGCTCTTTTCCAATATTCATAATTTCAAATCAAGCGTGACGTTGGTTATTGTAATATATTTAAACGCCGGAAAGTGAGTCATTAACTAAAGCTAAAACGATCAAAGGTTCGAATAACGTCGTCTGTCACTGAATACCTATCAGAATGTAGATACGGAAAAAAATGCAATGAACAATGCGTATTAAGCAAAAAACAAAAACAAAAACCGAAATCCGACCCAACTCTTCTTTGAGAGAATCCAGAAAGATTGCAAGCAATATTTATGTTGAGTACGGTCTTAGTAATTGTATTCAAACCTGCTAGTCAACAGAGAGACTATAAAAAGACAAAAACAATTAAGCGAAAACAGATCAATTCAAATTCTGACCGTTAAAATCAGTGGAAAATTTCTTTTTGTACGCAAGGCCTATTGTCAAATAAACTTAAGTAAAATGAGCAAATTACTGATTTTACGTATGTACAATTTTTCAGAGAAAGTCTTCTATTAATCAATAAATGTTCCACATAATGAAAAATTCGTTTTGAGTACTCTGTCATATGAAAAGCAAACCCAGAATTAGTTGTAAAATCTTTGTGACATGTCTGTTCAAAGTCTACTTTTTCCTTGATTGTCACAATATGAATACATCAGACAAGTGGCGTTAATAGAGTGACGAAATCTAATAGACAATAGATGGTCTCTTGATATCGAATTGTCAAAAATATTCCAAATAATGATTGCATCCAATTTTCGCAAATTGGTGTGAAGATTCTCTCTTTGAAAATCGATTTGGAAGTTTTCCTCTTTCGCTTATTTCTCCTTTGAGACACAGGCACTGCAGAAATTTTCCTTGGGGGAATAGCTGTCGTGTGATAAATTATCATTGACCAATAGCCGGCCATTTGAAGGAAGCCAATCATTATCCGATGATTCTCATGCCCACGAGTAAGATCCTATATCAATATTCTAGCATGACTCAACATTATCAACATGCAATTTTCTAAATTAGTTGAATTCTCCATGGTTTTATAACTTGAGTACCTCATTTCTAGGGTCTAACGAAGCAACAAAAAAATATGACAAATGACTCCAGTTAAACATACAATATTTATGTCTCTCCTGAAGAGAGACGGCGCCCGTTTTCGTCAATGTAATATATCAGACAGTTTATAAATCAATAATACTACGAATCTGTTTATATTTATTCTAAGAGTCCAAGAGTAAAATCCTGCTATAAAAAGTGCAGTGGGAAAATTAATTCTAGCATTCACAGTAACGTACATCTGTGAGAAACTTCCCAAGATGCCGTTTGCTTTATTTGAAGTTTAACCAGAGTAAACAATAAGAATTAAGTACTTGGCCAGATTTATCAACAACAGCAATACGACTGGCCAAAGTACAGAAAGCGGGTGAGACTCATTCTGAGAATTTCAAAGTGGGACATCTCTCGAACACGTGAAAGTTGATTGGTAACTTCAGCGATGCCAGAAGGACTTTGTAAGGTGGTTTGGAGCAGGAGGACTGCCGCAATTTACATTTTAGCTTCTTGTCACCTTTTAAGCGTTGAACTGGCGACGACTCAACCTTCCCTAAGCACGAAGCCATCAGCTTCACATGCAAAGCTTGTGAGAAGCAAAGACACTCAAGCTGATAGAATGAAGGCTGGTGAAATCGTAGAGGAAACCCATGGTATTTACGAAATATTGAAATCCACTCCAGTTACCCAAGCTTCAACAACAACAACAGCAATGACTTTGTCCACAGTTCCAGCAAAAGTCGATACCACACCTCTACCTGCATCTACAGGAGGCTCTGGAACAACGTCTGTCGAGCCAAGTAACAAAGACCTAACGGTAACAATACCTATCGTGACGTCATATTTCGTTAGCACGTCATCGGTGGTAAAACTGCAGATTACTTCAAAGTCTACAGTTGTTGATTACGTAACCCCGAAAAGAGAAAAAGGAGTGACATCTCAAAACGAATGGAAAGCATCATCTTCACCCAAGCGAGTTATGAGTTCATCCGAGGGTTTGGGAATAAAGGCATCAAAAGCTGGTGAACACAAAGGTTCTTCTACGGCTAGCTCAGGTCTGTCAAAACAAATCAGTTGGCTTACTCCGGTCAAGAAGGAAATACCAGTTTCTCCGGTGTTTGAAATCATGGTTTCCCCAAGCCTGAAGAAACAAGTTAGCTCCCCTCCATCACCCTCAACTCAAAGCATGCAGCAAAGGGCATCTCTGTCAACTTTGAGAAACGAACCTTCCTCATTTTCTAGTAAACAAGCTTCGTCTTACAGTAAATCTTCGCTGGTAAAAATATCTCGAAGCGATTCAATTCCTTCTGCATCCTCAGTCGTGAGGCTTTCACGTAATATGGAAATCAATACCACTTTTGTTGTTCTAGAAAAATTAAACTCCTCTTTACCATTTTCGTCTTCAATAAAAATACCGATGTCCTCACAAGTCAAAGACGAATTTACCCCATCGAAAGTACTAGATTTAAAGACATCTTCTAACCTCAAGGAACGAGCTCCTTCAACTTCAAAGATATTAATGTCTTCATCAAGACTAACTTTGTTCTCTCCAGCAAATATAAGCACGTCTTCACCTTTAGTTACAGAAATAACGACCTTAGTTTCCACTGTGGCAATTTCTCAAAACGTAAGCATTAATAAATCCCTAAACCAGAGCCAGGAGTCAATGTATTCTCAAACAAAGGAAGGTACGAAATCATATCAAGCAGTGGAAACTGTTACGTCTTCACACCTAAAAAAATTCACTACTGCTAACATGATAGGAACTACCACGTATGTAACAGTAGAACCATCGCCATTGAAACTGTCACCTCAAGCGTCAAGGCAAAATACATCATCTTCATTGCTACAGTTACAAGACGACTTGATGACATCATTGAAACCTAAGAGTACTATCATGTCCTCCCAAGTCATCTCTTCTCCATGGAGGGAGACTACGCTGTCTTCCAATATGGATAGTAAGCAACCTCTATCTTTACCACAGTTCCCTTCCACTGCAAATCGATTTAAGTCATTTTTAATGGTTAATGTGATGATACTTTTAAATTTACGAAAAAATTCACATCAACTCTTGTTCCTTAACTTTTAATTAAGGGTGTATGAAGACTAGTCACTCTTAAAAAAAAATTATTACAAGTGGAAAATCTTTTTTAATCTTACTTCCCTTTCTGGTTGCAGATTTGGTTACTTCCTCTCTCCCTATGACCGCCAGAGTTCTATTATCATCCACACCTGAAGGGGAGGCGGCAAAGGCGAGTTCGCAGTCCTCAACTGAGAATAGTCCGACGTCGGAAGCGAATGTCCCTGTCACAAAACCAGTCAAACAAACAACATCGCTTCCAGAACCGCAAACAACACAAATGAAGACTAAACCAGTAACAGAACACCCAACCATTCACCACAATGAATCCACCCACCACAGCAAGCCCACTCACCATGGAGAGTCAAATGACACGCATAAAAATGATAGTGATCACACCGGCCCGCATGGCAAAATGGGTCATCCTCACGAGCCTTCTGATGCAGACGCTTTGACTGAAGGGAATAAAGTTAATGAGGGCTGGCAGATTTCTATTTACATTGTGGTTTCTCTTATAAGTGGGATTATTGCATTTGTAATAGTTATGGTGGTCAAAAGCAATCGCCAGATGAGGTTGGTTTGCGATGTTTAATATTTAATATTAATGTAATAATTAATTCATATCCAATGACCCTTATCTAACAGTAAATTTTCATAGATATGAGTAGAAACTCGATTCTAACACGTGCGAAAGAAATCTATAACCTAATAGAGTACAATTACTAACAAACTGGTTTAAAATCCTGGTTGATTATGGAAACTACGAGACCTGCCAGCTTTTCACAAAGCATAGCAGGGAAGCGAAGCTTTACTCAGGACTATCAAGTAAATGAGAGGCAAATGAAAGGATTTTAACGTAAGACCCGCATTTTTTAAATTTAGAGCACTAAAAACTCTGACCTCACCACCCTCCCCTCCCACTGTCTTTAAAGTGGCCCTACAAGGTGCTTGGAGTGAAGTATGCTTGAGTCAAAAGATGAATGAAGTTCATTTGAAGCTTTAGTGAGTTTTGGAGAGCAACAAGGAAGACTTGCCAAACTTTTCGATAAGTCAAATTTTTCCATTTAATTTTGGTACTTAAAAGTTATGTTCCAGTGCATGCGGTTTCAGATCATCTCATCTATGCTTAATTGTAACGTGATGTTAATTATCTGGAAATCTAGGAGCCATGCCATGAGCGGCTAAGAACTTACAGGGTGCTCCCACTTCCCCTACCCTCTCCCCCTTATCCCTTCCCCTACCCCTCCCCCTTATCCCTTCCCCTACCCCTACCCCTCCCCCTTATCCCTTCCCTTATCCCTTCCCCTACCCCCTCCCCCTAATCCCTCTCCCTCACCCTCATCCTTGCAATCCCACAACATCCGTGGTATGAGTGGAAATATGTTATCTTAGAATCATTGATTTTGTTTGATACTTAAACAATTGAATGCATTATTAAACCTAAACTGTGCAATTTGTCCTTTTTTCTCTTTGCAGACACGTCAGATTACGAGAGAGTCAGCGTAAACGCAAACGCGAGTGTAAGTTAATGTCCTGCACAGCTTTACATGTTAAAAGGAAAATATAATAACATTACGTATTTCAGTGAAAAGACTGAAAGTTTTGAACTACTTTATACGTTCACCAGAAATTAATCTTGAGGATTAACTTCGCCTCTGGAGGTCTGAGTTCGATTCCTGGCCGGGAGTCATTCTTGACCCTGGGCAAGACCCTTGCTTCTCAAAGAGCCTCTCTTCACTTTAAAGTCCACATACATACCAGTAATTTGAGGGCGGAAACCTGACTGAAAAGTATTCAGTTCCCATTCCATCTCACTTTATGAAAAGGAAACTGAACAACTATACTGCCGTATCCCGAACTGGGATAAGCTCAGGACATCGGAGCTTGCCAATATGCTTCTTTAAGCACTTTTATCGGCAACAACCAATGGTGAATCTAAAACTTTTCGTAGCAAGGCCGAAGTGTCATTACACCCTTTGCCTTAACCCTTATTTTTGTTCAAATATATTTTAGGTCATATTACATTTTCTGATTTCTTTCAGTGGCAAGAGAAAAAGCCGCCGCACTGAGAGCGATCAAAACAGAAGAACCAAAGCCTCATACAGAAAAGAAGAAGGATGATAACAGGTTGAGTTTCCTCAAACATGACCCTGAAGAGTCCATCCCGCTCCTTGAACTCCATATTACAGACGGTGAGGCTCCTGTGCTTAGTGGTCACCTGGAGAAACAGAGACCACAGGACATCAGATTTACTGAACCATCCACCTTTGATACAGATACAAAACCACCGATGGAGGAGAATGCAAACATACCGCCTGAAACCCCCACCATTCAAATTGCCTGAGGGGGAAGGACAAGAAATTGTTGGATTTCTGGGTGTCATAGAAATCTCACATATAGTTAACAATTTTTTTAATAAGCAGCCCTATCATTTAAAAGTAATAAGCTATTAAAACTAGACGCCATTTTTTTGTAGAACTTTAATTTCTTTTCGATACTCGTTATGAAAACTTTGACTACCAGATGATTGACTGTTTCGTATTTGTTACAAGGTCTGATAACAGTTTGAACTGTATCGGTGAATTACTTTCACCCATTGTTTATAAATTGTGAATTTTTAACGTCAATGTTTTAGCCTCATTTGGGTGTATGTTTTAACGATGTTTTGATAGTAAGCTTAAATTAATATACCATCAAAATTTAAATCAGAATTTAACATTTCATAGCTTTTTCAATTAATGGGCGAAAAGTATTCACACTGTGATGCAAAAGAGACTTGAGCATGTGGAATCCAATGAGGTTTGATTGAAGTCGAATTGATCGAAAAGTGAAGTGGAGATTTACTCTCTGGACTCAAAGACTGTTCCATTTGTTTCAAAGCAAAAGCTAAACAAGAACAAAGAAAAACGACGGAGACCATTTTTATGAAAATGATTTTTTCAGAAAGCCACTGACGAAGCAGGGTAGCCTCTGGATTATCAAGGTTGTTAGAACATGAACGCGGTGCTTCCAGATGATCACAGTAATCGCCCTGAGTTCTATACGAATTGCCGAGACCGTAACGATCGTTCGCGTCCTTAACAATCGTCTGATGGTCTCAGGAACTCGTCCCAATCTTCTTTTTTTTCCTAAGTTTTGCTTTGGAAAAGATAAGCATCTTTTTCTTTCGTCCTGCACACCGTGACTGTAAAGGTTAGAGCCAAAGCTTTAAAACAATAACTATTATTGCTAAGAATTACACATTTAAATGACGGACTTGTGCTATTAATACCTCCTTTGAGCAGCTCAAAAAATTAAACCTAAAAATGTTTCTTCAATATTTATCAGCGGCAAATGCATATGTACTTTAGGACACTGTTTTCAATTTGTACAAATTTTTTGTGATTTCAAGAGAATTCGGCTAAGCAACCTTTAGTCTTGTATTAATTACTAATTTAATTATAAATCAAACTGTTGAAATTTGAATTGAACGTTAGTAGTAAGGATGGTAGTTGGAAACGATTGTAATTTTTTGTCAACAAAATATATTCCTCGTGTTTATGCAAATAGTAATTTGGTTCCTCAGAAATAAATGAAGAGCTTCAATCTCGAAAATTTATCAACTCAGTGAATTAATAAATATAGTTCAGAGGGGCGTGGGGAGGGCATGGGTGTCTATGACTCCCCCTCCCCCCCCCCCCTTCCCTCGTGCTAGATCAAGTACGAATGCCAAGTTACCTTGAAATTTAGGGTTAAGGCAGTTTTTTCCCCAACTGGTCGCTGCTTTGACCAGCGCCAGAATAGAAAAATTAAAACTAGTCTCCTTCGCAGAAGTTTCCTTGGTCTCGTAACGCGTTACGCTACTTTCCCCTTTATGGCTTTCAAATCGCCGATCAGGTAGGATTAAAAGGTCAGATTACCATTGTAATCAAGTCTACTAATGCTCTTTTGACAACTTTCCTTTTCTTTACTGTTAATAAACTCTCGGTTCTGGCAAGATTTTCACAAATTCGTTGTGAGTTCGAATTCTTTTTCACTGTGAAAATAATTCGGCCTTATCGGCAATTCAGCAATCAAAACGACTTAATACGATTTGGGCGATTTGTGATTCCATGGCTGCTTTGGATGAGGCAAATACCTCATTTTCCTCATTTTTTTCTATGAGGATTTTTAAATCACTCATACAATAATTAAATCCCCTTTCCAAGAATGGTTGTAGGAAAAGCTTTACTGTGATGAAGAGGTTCCACTTGACTAAAAGTAACTTGAAAGCCTCCGATGAAACCCGCCTTGATGAATCTCTCAGTTCCTGTACCGCCCCTATTTTCTAAACAAACGTTTATAAAGGGTAAGAGTTTATTCTAAAAATACATATTTGATCATAACTTACTCTTCAATCAACCTCGACGGTCTTTTTGCTACGCAAAGCTAATTAGTAACCGTAAGAGGATTGGGATCCAACTAGAGTTACAGGAGAAACAGACGCAAGTGCCGTCAGACAGGAAATGGCTGTCGCGGTCTTCACCCTTAAACAGTGGAAAAAAGAGATGTATATTCTCTCCATTTAGTCTCATAGAAAAAGAGATTTTTGGACCTACACCCTAAACAGTTTATCCCTAAGGTATCCCCACCCCCCTCCCCCTCCCCCTTCCCCACCAGAGTAGCGTCCTTCTCAAAATTGCAGCTCTAGTCTCTGAGAATGGCAAACCTCTAAGGAACCTAAGGAGATGCGAAATGTGAACGTCGAAAAAATTAGGGATCATATCAGAAAATAGGAAACTGGCTCATCTCCTCCAAAACTTCTTTTACTCATTAATTAAATTGCTTTGTACGTCAATTTTTAATTCGAGAGCAAGTTAGCATTTTTATACCCATGTTAGGAAATCATCCCGAGCATGACAAGGCAAGAACTCTGTGAGGGCGTTTCACGTTAAGTTTAAAGGTCATGTCACGGCTGTTTTTGTTATAAAATTAAGCTTTCATATGATTGCTCTCATAACTTGAAGTCATTTGCGAGTAAAGATGCAAAAATTTGGAAAGAGCATCGTCAAGACGAGCACGGCACTGTTAGCTTTGATAATCTTGGTTTTATCGGAAAACATGGACTGCTTGATTGTTAATGTGACAAGGCTGGAGGAGAATGACAAATTCACAAATCCAAATCGTACAGCTGTGTCAAACTGTATTGCGGGTGGCCAATCTTCTTATTTCGACTCCTGTAGGAATTTTCGTTCGGTCGACACGAGAGGAAATTGTTCCGATTCAAAACCTTGCTGTCAGTGGTGTCAATGTAAAAGTGATCACCCAATTTATTTGTTTCACTCGGGAAAATGTGTGAATCTGCAGGAGCTGAACACGGATATTTTTGGTCCAAGGTCAATCGGTAGGTCATATTTTCAGTGTTAAAAAAGCACATTATAACCTTTATCAGTTTTTTCCTGTCGAGCTCTGGCTACTGTAAATATATTCAGGCTTCAGAATAGTTATTTTTTATTCCTTTCAGTTGATTAAAATGAAAGAGAGATAAGATAAGACGCGTTCATGCCGCTTTTAGTCGATGATAGATGATCTATAACATTGTTTATTTCTACGATCGAGTGACAGTGAATATGAGATACCGTGGGATGAGAGATTAAAACACAGCTACAGCTGATGATATTAGGGGGATCACATGGTTTTCATGGGGAATAAAGGGGGACTGCGTCTACCCAACAGTTTGCATAGGAGGGACATTTGACTACCAATCAACCGCTAATGATAAGGGGGGGGGGGGGGGGGGGGGGTCATAACATTATTACAGATCCTTATTAGGGGATCAAGCAGATTTTCCCCCTCCCCTTCCACGCATTTCATAATGATCAGTCCTTTCCCAGATATTGAAAGTTCAAAAAAGAGAAAAACCTGATCTTGGTTGTATATTGTTAGGATGTGGTGCGCGCCTCGAAGTGAAAGCTGGTGGTGATGATGATGATGATGATGATGATGATGATGATGATGATGATGATGACAGAAATGGTAAAGACGATAGAGGTAAAGATGTTTGCAAAGCCAGCTCCTGGGTTCCACCTCTTATCAATTTTCAAACTAAATCATGTGTTAAGATAAAATTCTGCCAAGCAAAACCTAAAGATACCGAGTCTTGTGATGTCCAAGCTGCTCGCTATGTTGATGATGGTCAATGGACGAACTTTACCGACTTTCAGCGAAAGTTTTGGACCAAGAAAAACAAGAAAGATATCTACCTAGAGGTAAATAAAGCCATACGAGTCAGCTGGGATAAGCTGTTGGGCGCTCCAAACTGTGAGATCACCAGAGGGTTAACGTTGTTTACACTAGAACTTATATCTGTAGGGGGTCCACTTTAACGATAAAAAACCGTTCGGAGGAGTCGAACCTAAAGCATTTCAATGAATTTTACAGTTAAGCTATCGGAAACTCGAGGCTAAATCTATGTATTCTGTCCTAGCCTTAGCCGTTTTCCGTTACCATAAATATTTCTGAGGGAAGGGGTGCGAAGTGGACTGCCAATAAACTGCCGCGACATAGCAGTTTTCCATTTTTTTTCCTCTGCCTTGCTTGCAGAACTTCCATCCCTCCTGCTCTCGGCAAAGTCCTTTTTTTCCCTTCAAAAGCAGATCATTTTCGACAAAGCATCTCTGCCACAACAATACATTGATAATGGAAGGAAAGAGCCAATGTAATTTTGGTTTTCTGTTTTTTTATTGTATTTTAATCTGTATCTAGTGGAACAAATCATCGGTAACGAATTTCACAGGGAATCTTGTTGTCATCAACGTAAAGTGTAAACAGAAAGGCAAAGGAAAAGATTTTGCTTCCTGCTTCATTTTCAAGACAGCTGGGACATTTACAGGTTGGTAAAGACTCTGGTCAGTCATAAAAAAAGTAGGATGAATCAATCTAACCGACTGAATCCCTCATGGAGTGCATTTGGATTGCGCAACGTGAAACCAAAACCAAAATAATTGAGAGAAAAAAATGACTAGGAATAAATGAGAACTCCAAGTAAAAACAAGCAAACCTCCTAAGGCACGGAAAGCGCAAATGACTCGATTGTTTTAAGTTTTGTGGCTGATTGGTTGAGAGAGAGGCACTAGTTTTCTGAACCCATCACAGAGCGATGGGATACAGATTCATTTACTCAAGTCCTCATTTTACTAATTTACTCGCTCGCTCATATCTAGCCACAGAAAAATGTACCGAACCATTCACGACAAAACCAGCGACAGCAAAACAAATGACAACAAAAAACACCTCAACAAAATTATCAACAGCAGAAACTGCCACATCAAAAGAAACTCTGCCACCAACAACACAAGCAGAGGTAACAACAAGAAAAAGAACAACAGCAAAATCAACTGCAGAGATCCAATCCACAAAAGAACACAGCACAGGAACGACCCCCATCAGCCAGACCGAGTTGTCGACGAAATCATCCGAGACTCCGCCGACTTCCTCAAGCGACACAGATACCACACCTAAAAAGACTCCTACTGTTATCTCCATGACAACGACAGAAAGGAGCAGTCCTGGTAAAGACAAGAATATAGACAAGTCAACTGACGTAAACGGCAGCAGCAGAAGAACAGTTCTAGTTGTATCTGTGTTATGTTCACTTGTGGTAGTCGTCGCCATGTTTTTCGTATCAGCTTGGCTCTGGAGAAAACGGTAAACGGCGTGAGTTTGTTTTTATGATATGATCTATGTTTTAAGCTATTTTTCCTGTATTTTCTATTTTCCTGATGTACATCATCGCCACAAGCACTTTATTACGAGCATCCACGCAAAATATTTTTAATTTTCAGTTAGCAAGAGCACTAACTACAAGCTGTGTAAGAGAATATATAAATATAAATATATATATATATATAAATATATATATATATATATATATATCTATATATATATATATCTATATATATATATATATCTATATATATATATATATATACATTTTTTTATCTTCACAGGAAAAGTTACTCAAGAAGCGATCAGCAAAGTACTAATCAGTGTAAGTGAATGGTTAACCTGAGTATTTTACTTCACCACGATATTGTAGAACACTGTAAAAACCTCCTCCTCTCAATTGCTGCAAGTAAAGGTCCAAACTACAAGTTATGTGTTTGGACTGTTAGGAGCAGAAAGCCCAAAGAAAATTAGTACAAAGGAGAGGCATCAAGAGACTGCAATGTCGAGGTCTTTAGCGTCATCAGAACGCGGAATCCGAAGGTCTGGGTTCCATTTTTTGTAAGGAAGTAGGACTCTCTCTTTTTTTTTTACCTGCTTGTGAAATGATTATATATATCTCTCTTTGGTTTCTAAATACCTTTGCAATTGGTTGATCTAGTTTTCTTTACCTTTTTTTATATTTTCTACGGTTTTCGATTCTCTATTTAGATTTTTGTATCTGCCAAGTTAGAGTTAGTGGTTATTACATCTCATGTGTCTTAGTACAGAGTATCTTACATTTATTCATATCATTGTCACCATTATAGTCGATAAACCAGAAGATCACGTCCAAAACACACATGAGAATGCCTATCAACTACTAAAGTATGACGGGAAATCAAAAGATCAGACTCAATGGGAACAACCGGCCTATGAGGGCCTCGTCAAGGGTTCAACTGCGAAAGACTGGGGAGAGGGAGAAGTATATACAAATCCTACAGTGTATCAACAACTTGACAAGTCTAATATCACCACTGAAAATGATTATTTAGCGGCTTATCATCCTCTTATGAAACAGCTCCAGTCCAAGGTATGCATTTTAATCCCATACAGTTCCCTACCCTGGCCTTAACCCGGAAAGAGGTGGTTCTCTTTTTAAGACAGGAACGCAAAGTGGGGTAGAGCAGAAGTCGTCTTTCATATGACAAAAAAATTATTTTGTTAAAAATGACTTTTGAAAAAAACAATTATGTCTTCTTATAGCTATTGCTCCAAAACCATTGGAGCAATAAATATTGTTTCAGTGCTTGTTAAAAATAGGGGGACGTAGTCATCATGCAACGAGAAAAAATGTACCTACCGAATCAATCTCATTTGTAATTGCTTATAGTAAAGCGCAATACCTCCTTTCCGCAGTCGAGGACGAAAATGGCGATTTGCCGTTGATGTCACAAAATTCACATGCATTTTCTAATTGCTACTTTCTCATAGTCTGAGCAAGTCGCCGAATATGACCAAGGGTACCTGGTACTGGTTGGAGAGCATAGCAAAAGAGAAGAGACCGCTGATCAAGAGGACCCGTATTACTACAAAGTTGAAAGTAACATGCCTCAGTAATCAACCGTCTGTTTTGTTGTAATTTTCGGTAAAATGATGAGAGATGAACTCATTCTTCATGGCTCCAAGTCAAGAGAACGAAAACGATCTGTAAAAGTTCATGTGATACTACGAATTGATTAGGATATGATTGCTTATTGTAAAGCCTGTTATCCTTCTTGTTTGAGTGCGTGACAAAAATTGATAGTTGAGGAAGTGGTTTCTGTACATTACTAATGTGCTGACAAGGAAAATTACCTTACAATTAAGAGGTTCTTAAACTGGTGATCATTTCCTTTATTCTCATGACATTAACGTGAGCTTCAGTGGTGATATTGCAAAGGAGAAATTAGATGTCAGTCGCTCTGAGGGGTAAATGAATTAAGACGAGTCCTGGTTTAAAACTCTTCATTCACCTAAAATAATTTCTCCAGGACTGACAAAGCGAAAGCTGAATCAGAACTTACTCAGCGGTCCCGTATGTGTTCCTGCGCAACTCTAATTATTGACCCCAAAATGTTGTGGTAAACTTGCTTGTAGCCATCGCCTCTCGTTTTTACTGCCCAAATAGGGCAGCTACACAAGCTCCGACAGCGGCGCCGAAGAACCTTTCTGAACTACCACCTCCACACTCCCGTTTCCCTCGCGAGCATTTTGTATTCGAAATTAGTCAAAACAAATTTATCAAACTTAAAACTCACTACATAAACTGCCTTGAAATATCCGGAAATTTGGAAATTTCGGAAATTTCCTGTTCCATATGCGATTTCTTTCAGCTTTAGTCGTACGTACAGATACTCTTTCATCCATGCATGGCTTTTGAATATCCATCAATAGATTATAAAATGATATCCATGTCGTCATCCTTTATGTAGTAAGTTTAAAGTTTGGTAAATTTGTTTTGATAATTCTGTCGAAAGTTACTTAGATGTTTATACGACCACTGTCGTGAAACGACTACATTCCATCCACTTCACTCGTCGACCTCCTGCACGTGATTTCAAACTCCTTAAACCCGTTTTATTTGACCACCCAAATTTCTAAAACCTCAAACCCTGGTATTTTGTCAAATGGAAAGCTTATTTGATAGGAGAATAGCAATACAAAATGGCTAGGGGTTGAAAATCACTTCAATGACCTGAGCTCAACCTGGACGAGATTCTCCTTATCCCAAAAGACATAAGACGTTGCTATTCATAGCGCAAATAACCAAACACGACAGGCCCCAGTTGTTCGAAGGTTGGATAACGCTATCCACTGGATAAAACTCTATCCGGTGGATAACGCTATACATTTTGCTATCACTTATTCGCCGGATGGCAATTTATCCGTTGGATAGCGTTATCCGCCTCTTATACAAATGGGCCCAGATTGCTAGATTTCTCAACGAAATAATAAAAAAGAGCCTCTATGTTTAATTATTTTCGGTAATTTTTATCTTGCAAATCACTGTTTTTGCTTAAAAACTGCCAAAGGAGGTATGCACAAGGGTAAAATTACAGTTAATGATCGGTAAGAAATAGTTCTCCGAAAGATCAAATTTTGAATTGGTCATAATTTTTCTGAAGGGAATGTTCTCTAAGGGTAAATCTCTGACCTCGGTAAGGAATAACTTGAGATTAAGAAGATTTTACTCGGACGTGGGACGTAGGACGTGAGCTGGATTTCCGGCATCACGCAGATGGCCACGCAAACGGAAATGATCGGTCACGTGGATACCGTTGAGTCCTGATAGACACGAAAGGAAAAATTCTTATGTAACATCCAACCATGCAAGGTCCTCGTATGTGGTATCAATTTTTCTTGGCCTCACAATATGCTTTGCAAGGTATACTATACGGACTTCAACTAAGATATCTTCCCATAATTCTGCGCAAATCTGGATCGTCGCTTCTTCTCGTGGGATCTCTGAATCTGCTGACGTTCCCTTGGCTTTTAAAATCTCTGTGGGCACCGATCATCGATATCTACGGTAACAAAACCTTTTGGCTCTCGACAAGTTATGCAGGAACTGCGCTTGCACTTTTACTTGCAAGGGTTGACGACAGAATTATTTTCATAACCTCATTGGTATTACTTAATCTATTTTCTGCCACGGTTGATTTGACGCTTGGAAAAATACTGCTGTCAAAATTTCATGGAGACCAATTATCAAGGGCAAGTTCACTTCAGATCATTGGCTACAAAATTGGCTTTTTAATAGGAGGAGGTCTGACTCTATTAGCTGCGGAGTATTCCTTAATGAGAAAAGAAATATTCTTTGCCCTAGCTATCTCTTATTTCTCCCTGATGGTGACACTTTTTGTCACGAAAAGCTACGTGACGCCCAACGTTTGTCCTAAACCTGAAATATTGCGTTACTCAGAGACCACACGGATGAGTGGGTTCTCGCGCACACCAGGGTTGCAATGGATGATAGCGTGCGCGTGTGTGTATAAATATGCGTCGCACTCTTCGCAGTCAATATTCACCATGTTCCTGGTAGATACCGGAGAGAGCCTTGGCCGTATTGGCTTCTTGTCTGGAATGGTGGGTCAAGGTATCTCAATTGCTGTTGCTTCTATGTGGGGAGTGGCTCTGTCAGCAAAAAGGTGAGATAGAGGGGATTTGTAAATTTTTCATAGCTTTTTTTTTTTTCCGTTTTTAAGATAGAATCTGCTCGTAAATGAAGACTGAAAATTAAAAGTAGTCTTTCTTTTGGCAATCTTACATACGTTTACTTCATCATTTGTCGCTCAGCCTTTAACCCGTGCAAAGTTGCGACCTTCCCCTAACCTTTTAACTCCCACATCACATTTGCAATTCTCCTTACTGTCAACAATACAATTCTTATAATGTTAGCTCAGAGAATTTAGTATTGGATCAACTAATTATCCCCAAATTGCTATATCTCTTTATTCTCATCACTTATCTGGTTGATATTGTACTGATATTGTAAGGAGAAATTCTGTCTTGGTCACTCATGGGAGTTGGAGGGTTAAGAAAAATCGGCAACGGAACCCAATTTTCCAATTTTCTAGGGGTGGAGGTCACTGTACACGAACTGGGTGGTTTTTTTATCTTAGAAGATATAATTTTACTTTAAAATATTCGGATATGTTTAGGAATGAACGTAGTGCCATACTCCAGTCGTACAAATTTTAAATTACCGCACCGCAGCATAATTTACCAAACGGCAACAAATTTTTTAAGGATGGGGAGGGTACACATATGTAAACCTGCTTTCTTTCAATTTGATACTTTTAGATTTATGGTATGGTAATAAAGTTAATACCCGTTGTTTTCATTTTTGTCCAATTCTAGGATACTTCCTACGCAGCTTTTCCTTCTGACGTCTTTGTTATCTGTTTGTTCAGTTTTCGCTCAGCTTTGTGTTGTCTGGTTGAATGACACGAAGTTTATAGCCCTTGGTAAGTGTTAACTCCTGAGAGGGTCTGATTAGGAGTCATGTGCGGTGATACATTACTTTAGCTACTTTCCAATTACTCGCAATGTTCTGTTCTTTAGCAAGTTGCTTGACGTGTCAATCACGCAATGTGTCAAGGTGTGTCCATTTTCCTTGTGGACGGTTTCGTGGGTACACCGAAAACTCCATAGCTGAGCAATTCAATTGTCAAACGTCTGGCTTGTGCTTACGTGGAAACAACCAAGAAGCAGCCTGACATCTTGATCACTAATTGTTTATCTAAGTTTCTATGTTTTTCACTTACAGTATACCTGATGCTCAGTGTAGTTCATGGGTCCCAGGCCACTCCTGTCTATACACTCATGTTGCGATGTTCCCAGAATGCACCCCAATCCGTGCAAACGACTTGTTACTCTTTCCTTGGTACGTTGGAAATTCTTGGTAAACAGTTTTCGTTGTTCATAGCAGGAGTCCTAACAGAGGCATTGGGATATGTGGCTGGTTTATACATCTCACTTGTGGTCTCCTTTTTTGTTGTCATTTTAGTTTGGCATTGTCCGAAATATCTTCGATGCCCTTAAAGAATTGATTTTCAAAACATTACAACCAACGGATGTGATGAAATAGTTGAATAGACAGAATAAGATAACAAATGTAAAGTGTTTCATTAGTGCTTCATGTAACTTAAAGCATAAAAAATGTGCTGAAATTTCTAGTCTTGCAGATTGGCGATTTGTTGCCTCTCACGGAAGCAAATTTTTGCGCCTCAAGGGGGTTGAGCACATCAAATCGAGGTTTACCAGTAAATTATACCGAATAAACCAGGGCAAATAAAAAAGCAGATAATTTTTGTTTGAATGCTTTCTCTTGACTTCCCCACATATTTTCTTAAGTTGTAATCAGGAGTTTCAACGCGTTAAGAAGCATGAGAGAGAAAAACCCTTACGTACATAGCCTAATAAATACACGTTATTCGATGCATGGTTAAATCGATAATTAAAGCGCTGAGGTAAGTTTCCACTTGTTTTATATTTTGATCCATCGAATAAGGGATTTTTATTTCTCAATTGTTTCTTTTTCCACTATTTTGGCTTCTGGAAATATATCCTGCAACGTTATTTGAGAATCGCACCAATCGCGTCGGGTGTGCGCTTGAGACGGAAACAACTCAAATTTAGTGTCCTTTACGACGAACAAAAAAATAGCATTTCACTTAAATGGGCCTTCCTTGCTCCACTTTCCGTCCAGCTCTTTGAAGTAATAACGGGTGCCATGAGACAGAAATGAAAATCGAACAAGCGACTGACAACTACACCAGAGGGAGATAAAAACACCAACATCGGTCGCAACAGATTCAAATTTAATTTTTTAATATTTATGAATATAGGCAACAATTTCAATCAAATTATTAAAATATAGACCGACCGCGTATTATCCTTCACTCTTGATCAGCTGTGTTGTTGCTGTTACAGGAAATAAAATCTTGAACTTGACGAACAAACTGAAGAAACTCAGGCAACTCGGCACAGATTGTTAATGGTTCCCAGTCGCGTTCGTTGAGGAGCTGATCCCATTTTTCACAATGAAGGTGAATATCCGTCTAAGGGTATGAATGATTGAAAAGAAGTGAATAGAGGAAAAAGAGAAGTTAGCTCGAAAATAAATGAACCTCCTAGCTAACGACACCGCTAGCTGACGATTCAAACTAATTGAAAAGATATTTTAAAAAAATTCGGGTAATTTAATGAGGAAAAAATTTCTTTTTAACGATTAGATTATTCGCTCTCGATTTTTTTCACGTGATATCGAGTGAGGGCAGAAATCGAAAGCGAATAATTTAATCCTTTCACTATAAATCTACTACTCGTTGAAAACGTAACATCGAGACGGGCTCTTTTTTCATTTTATTTTGTTTGGAACTGTACATTGTTAGGTCACCTCCTGTGCTCTGTGACTATCGCGGAAATAAATAGCGAGAAGCGTAGTTACTCAGATTGCACCAATTGTGATTGAACGCTAAATTTGTACTAAAATAAGTCGTAATATAACTGTGTTGTTAACGACAAATCTCCTACCGTCACTCTGTTTTCCTCATCTTTGAGATCACTGCACCAGGATCTTTCATCAGAGACAATCATGGTAAATCCAGGCCGAGGGGTGAACAAAGTTCGGCGGGAACATCTCCGATGAGTAAAGTTAAATCCTTGGGGTAATTTCTCGTCTTCTGGAAGGCGTAACCCGTCGGCATCGGAGAATGTCAACTTAGAAAGATAATTTGATATGAGGTGTGTCGCTTCTTTCTCGCGCACAAGGCTGTTGTTAGCAACTAAATCATCTGAGGAAAAAAAAAAGCCGTTGGATTAAACATTAGTATTTATGTTGGTTTCGCATTCATAAACTCACTCACTAGCCCGTTATTTAATCAACTTTCCAAATATGCTAATAGTTTCAAGATTTAAAGTATATTTTTCGTGAGTTTTAGGCTATAAAGTGGCCATCTTGCGTTGCCAAAATTTATTCCAACAGAAACTTGGCTCTTGCAAATGAAACTGGACTGTTGACCCAAAAAATCGACCAAAATATTAACATAGGAATAATTTCATACTTATCACATTTGCAACAAGGGAGGGAAATATCAATTCACCTCTTACTTACTCACTCACTTTCTCGTTTTGCTCGCTCAGTCAGTCAGTAAATCAAAGGGAGTGAGTTTCCAAAGTAACTGTGGTGGTACGTCAGTGGGGTAGGCAGGTCAGTAGTCAGGAGGTCAGTCCATTGGTCAGTCACTGAATGACTCATTCACTAAGTAATGCATATGTGATATGACACACACAGACAACTAGAGATATAAGACCTTTCGTAGACTCACCCGTAAGTGCACGCAAGCTTATCCTGCAATCAACGTCTGAACCTGGAAAAATGATGTTAACCTGGAGAAATTTCTTGGACTGTAAAACCAGCCACCCTCGACACCTCGCCCTTGTGGAATCATCCTCAAACCGCAGTTCTTCAACAACATTTTTCAGGTCATGGAAAGGAATCGGTATTTCTTCAAGTTTCTTTCCCACATCTTTATTTGCTACCCATACCTAAGTTGTCATGAGAAAAAGCCACTTAAAAATTGAAAAAAGCCAAACATGAATAATTGAGAGAACGCAAATTTTCTTAATACATATAAGGTATTGTAGATGTCCAACAAATTACAAAAAATTGTGGATGAGAAAGTTTTGAATCAATGAAACTCAACATTTATCAGTTTTTTAAAGCGTGTTTTCCTGAACTGTTCTGAACCTATATAAGAAGGAAATTAATTTGCTCAGCAATCCCCATTTAGCTTTCCTATCATTATTTTTGTATTTTATTATGCCTCTGCTCTTGTATGCATGCACTATGGACAAGCATTCATTAAGGGAAACTACATTGCATTATGGGTACAGTTAACCTCTTGTACGTGAATGTGTATATGACTTCGAAACAGAAACCGGTTCATGTCATTTCAAATGGTGAAAGTGGTAAACTTGCCTTACATCGCATTGCTTGGCTTTTCGGGGACAAAAACGTCAAGTCATATCTTGCCATGAAGTCCTCCCCTATCTGATCACCAAATGTATCGCTCACCACTTTGTCAGCAAGGTTCACGCCCTCTTTAAATGCCACAAGCCATTCGTTTTTTTTCTGTTCTGTTCTTTGAAGCTTGTTGAGTGAATCAGCAATGCTCCACGTCTCCTCGAGGTCGGCTGTTGACAAATGTAGTTTTCTAATTACTTGATGTTACATTGTCAAAATGGTGTCTTTTCAGCTATGCAGACCAGGCCCAATTCCTTTAAAATTAACCAATCAACGACAAGATTTTTCGCCCGCGATTTCTATCCCGTGATAGTTAGTAAGGGTGAAGCTCGAAGAAACTATCTCGCATAGAAATTGAAAGCGAATAATCTAATTTCCTTCAGCATAAATCTACTAATTACCCAAAACTTAACAACAAGACAGGCACAAGTTTTTATTTTATTTTGATAACAACCATACAATGTTAGGTAACTCACGTTACTCACCATCCCGGAAAAGATAGCGAGTAACGAAACGCTTAAACTCGAAACGTCATCTTTAGAAACCCTTTATTGTGACCCAATTTATGTTATCAACCCAGTTAATAAAACCAAGT